TAATTTTATCATTCATTTAAATTTTTTATACATTCTTTACTCAGGATCCTAGAGAATATGTAGAGTCGCTTATGAATCTTCATGTAAAGTACATGAATGTTTGTCAAAAAGTATTTATTAATGATGCAGCATTTGTTGCAGCTGTAGATAAGGCTTTTAGAACAATCATCAACGATACAAGTATTGCACATTCTCCCGAAGTTCTTGCTCGTTATTGTGATGTTTTGTTAAAGAAAACGCACAAAGGTGGATTTAGTGAACAAGAAATTGAGGATAAATTAGATCGAATGGTAAGGTGTTTAGCTTATTTACGTTGATTACTCATATACTGTAAATCATTCAAATTGAAATTGGAAATTAAAATCAATTATTTTTGTTTTAGATCGTCCTCTTTAAATACATTGATGACAAGGACGTGTATCAAAAATTCTATTCAAGAATGCTTGCCAAGCGTTTGATATATGGCAATTCTGTATCTGATGAGGCGGAAGTGAATATGATTACGCGTTTAAAAGTAAATATATTTACCTTTACCAACCACATTAATTCTCTTATATACCATGTTAATTATATATGTTTATATACAAGATTGCATGTGGCGTGGAATACACTAGTAAGTTGCAAAAGATGTTTACTGATATTACGCTTAGCGCGGAAATAAACGGCAAATTTTCCGAGTATACCAAAAAGAATATCAATGGAGAAAATGGTTAGTATTTACTTATGTTATAATTAAAATATATAATTTTTAAATCATTATTAATTAATGTATCATAGGCTCGCCGGTTGATTTTTCTATATTGGTTCTAACGGCTGGCGCATGGCCATTAACGCAGTCTTCGATGACAGAATTTCAATTACCGACTGAGGTGACTTTAATATTAAATTCATCTTGCAATTTTGTTATATTTTACAGATGTTTAAACTGAAGACATTTATTATATAGTTAGAAAAAAATGTTTCACACTTTTCAACATTTTACAACGGTCATCATATTGGCAGAAAATTAAC